AAAAAAAAAAAAAAAGAAAGAAAGAAAAGAAAGGCATAAACCTCAAAGGAAATAACTGAAGGAGATAAAAATACCTACTATGCCATTCTCATACCCCTGTGATATCTGAGAATGGAAAAACAAACAGCCTTCCCTTGTGGGTGCTGAAAGGAAATTATTCCCTTGGAAAAGATAGATTTTAATTAACATCAATTGAGGTCAAGAATTTAGTAAAGAGATACTTATAGTCATAATAAAGAGATTTAGTATTCAGTAAAGAGAAAGAGGGTGTGGGATGATTTATCTATGAAGAATAGAAGTTCCAGAGGCCCAGGGACCTGGGTTAGTTGGGAGTGCAGCAAAGGGTAATATGGATGAGAGCACAGGCAACATCACATGGGCAAAGGGCCACATTTGAGGCCACATGGCTTAGGGATTCCAGCCACAAAGTTACAACTGGGACTCTAGTGGAGAACGGTTCAGAATGAAACCGTTGCTGGTGTTGAGGCTTCACCATGTTTGCTATTTATGGTTCACTGGGGAGACAGTGTGTGGCCTTTGCCCAATGTTCCACATAAACCAGTGATCTGAAATTGCCTTGGGTCTCAGGAAAGCTTAGCTCAGTAAGTCAGTGCATAAGGCCTGGTGCTCTGGCAGCACCATGGGGAAGCTCAGACAGGTCTGTACCCTGTAATCCATCCCCCTACTTTAAATGGGACGCCCATCCCCTGGACTTCTGCACCTACTCTGTAAAGCCTCTCTCAAGATAGGTGGGTAGTCAGCCTTGTTAGGACGTAGAGATAGATGTTCACAGACTTCTAGCACATAATAGAATATAGTGATTGAGGAAACTTCTCCCCAAAGACAAGTGTGAAAACAGATCTACAAGGCCTGAGGGGTTAAGAGGAAGGAAGCTAACATTTATGTTAGCTCTTCTTGTGTCCCAGCCAGCCACTGAGTTACGTGTTTTACACGTGTTACCCCATTAATCCCAGCCCCATGAGGTGAAGTGTCACATCTATTTAATAGATGAGGGAAGGGAAACTTGGCGAGGTAAACTCACAATCAAAAACTAATAAGTGACCAAACCAGAATTCAAAACTAGGTATGCTTAGCTCTGAAGCCCATGTTCTTTCCACTGCTCTTTCCACTGTTCTTTCCATGTTGCCTCTAATTTAATCATTGCTCACAGTGGTCCTCACTCCATTCTAGCTTTCTGATTTCCAGCAACCAATGGTTCCAGTTATGTGTGAAGCATTATAGCATAATGGTTCAGACCATGGACTCTAGGGCCTGATGGCTTGGATTAGAATCCCAGCACTACAGTTTATATTCTATATGACTTTGCCACGTTACATGCCTTCAGTGTCCTCATCTGTAACATGGATATAATAATAATACCTATCTCATATGGTTGTTATGAGGACTAAATAAGTTAATACTTGTAAAGCACTTAGAACAAGGCCTGACACGTAGTAAGTGCTATGTAAGTATGTGTTAAACATAAGATAAAATTAAAAGTCATTAGATTGACCATGAGAGTCAAAATAATACAAAAGGGATAGCATGAAGTATTGCCACTTGAAATGTACTTCTGCTCCTTACAGGATGAACTCAACTTTGGGTGGTCAGACGGGAAACAGGTTCAATTTAGTCGCTGGGCTGAAAATAATGTGCAACTTGAAGACTGTGTAATATTAGATACTGATGGATTCTGGAAAACATCTGATTGCGGTGATAATCAACCGGGTGCTATTTGCTACTATCCAGGAAGTATGCTAGTTTCAAATATTTTAATTCTTAAATTGCTATCAGTTTCATGAGTAGTGGAATTTTGGGGGAGTGCTTTTGTAAAATCTGGCAATTGTAAAGAAAGTATAATCATGTCCTTTTTACAACAAAATTTGTTGTGAAAATTTATATTCAAGTAGAATTATTATATATTAAATATTTTGTCATTAATTTATTTTAGACACATTTTATCTTTTTATCAGCTGACAATGGTAATTGACCTTTTAGTTTTTGACTAATTGATCTTATATGCCTCATTTTGCATATATTTTGTGTTTATATTCTTTTAGAAAACTTATCTTTGTGGGAATTCTTTTATAATTCTTATCATCGACAAGTAACGTTTCTTTTATGAGTCACCGTTAAGACTCATTTGGGTGCAAGTAACAATAACCAGCTCAAGCCAGCTTAAGCCAAAAGGGAAAGTTAGATCCTCAAAAATGGGTATAGAGCTGAGCCTCATGAGGAAGGGGAATCAGGAACCCAGAAATACTGTTTTCCACCTATCCTTTCTGTTTCTCTCTGTGGATCTGCACTCTTTTCTTTATCTACTTTCTGCTTCTCTCTGCACATGGTGAAGCATGGCCACTCTGCAGCTTTCACTTATAGCCGTAACTGGAGATGAATTTAATGTCTCTGAATTCCACTTTTCAAGTTCTTAGAGAAAATCTGATGGACTCAGCTTGAGTCAGGTATGCAATCTCTACCCCAGTCAGACGAAAGTGGTTTTACAACTGCCAGGGGCCCACATTTGTGGGTTTGTGGTAGAAAGAAGACACTACTTCATAGACAAAAGGAGTTGCTGTGAGCTGAGAGAGATACTTACTGGTCTCTACTACATACTAAATCAGTTTGACTGGCTTTGAGAAGAGCATATCTATATTTGCATCTTCTTGAATGTGTGGCCTCTTCATAAAATTTTTTTAAAAAGCCATATTCAGATTTTCTACATGTCAGATTTTAAACTGTTTCTATTTGCCTTGGTTAAAGCAATAACTTATTTAGAACATCAAGTATTTCATTAAAATGTTCCTTTAAAATTAGAGAAGGTATCAGTAACCAGCAACTTGAAGATGAATTCTCAAAGTTACAGTTAGGTACCTATTATTAATATGTTTGTATAGTTTCTCTGAGGTGGCCCCTTGTATTTGAAGTTCGGTGAGGCAAGAAGACAGAAACTGCCTTTAACCTAATAGCACCTGATTTTTTACATTCCTCCACTCACTCCACAGCAGGGGAAAGAAAATTGTGTTAAATAATTTCCTTCCTACAGAAAGCCAGTTAAGAGATCACATTATATTTGAGTATAAACAGAACAAGCATCACCAGGCTATTATTTCTTAGCTTCCTGAATATTTCCTACAAATCAAGTCTAATTGTCATGAACAGAATTTAACGTTTATATCCAAAATTAGAATTCTTACCATTAATTCTTTTTCTAGATGAGACCGAAGAAGAGGTCCAACCAGTTAACAGTGTTCAATGTCCATCTCCTGTTCTAAACACTCCATGGATACCATTTCAGAACTGTTGCTACAATTTCATGATAACAAAGGATAGATATACGGCAACAACACAAGACGAATCTCATTCTAAATGCCAGAAACTGAGTAAGTATATTATATGGCCATTATACATTGCATTATGCTTATTAAAACACAAATCTCACCTGAGTGTGTTATAAATATTCCTAATTAGATGAATTAGTCATCTCCTAATTTCTCCATTATCCTGATTTCTCCATTATCGATGCCAAAGTATTAAAATTTGCATTTAGTTAAAATGGAAAGTATAGGAGTTACCTCTTTCTTTCCTCACCCGTTAGAGAACTAGTCTGTCTTTACATGTATAAACAAAATAGGTTCTACTTAAAAAGGAAAAGAAATGACACTAAAGAGCAGAGAACTGGATGTTAAATCAAGCTAGGCTGTGAGAAAAGTGAAAATAGGTTAGTTTGAGTGGTCAAAAACTTAGAAAAGCCACAAAGAAGCGGCTCTGCTTAAAAGAAATAAATATTTCACACTTTTGGCTCTCAAGACTCTTCAGATATTTCCCATGAGATCCACTGAGGATCTGGGACTTCTAAACAATGGACCTATGAACTCTGTGGAAAGTTCCTGTGGAAAATATCAAACCATTATTCCCCAGAGTGTGCTCTGTAGAACACTAGTCTTAAGAGATGTTCTACGAAAAAGATCCTTAGAAAAAGAACAAGGTTGAGAATCACTGCACACCATTGCTTCCTGTTAGATGTTACATTAGCATATACTGTAAGAAATACTGTCATAAATGAACTATTTAACTTTGTTTAACCAATATCTGCAAAGTCTTTATCCTTGTAGTCCTTTTCTGAGGAACTCCTGTTAATTTCCTGACGAACACACTTTGGGAAATATTAAACTTTTTTAACTCTAAAAAATCTAAGGAAAAGGAAGATTTGTCTTACAGCCCATCCAAGAGGTTTTATTTATTGTGGTCTTTGACAGTGTATCATTAATATAGCTGGATTTGTACCAACTCAAAATAAGTGTTAAATGGAGAATAGTTAAGTGAATCCGTGTTTTAAATTCTCTACTCAGCTACTAGTTTTCTACTATTCTAGAAGACCAAATTTAACATCAAAATGTTTGAAAACTTCTTAACCTATTCATTTTAGTACAATATAGTTTTAATTTACATGTCTTTCTTACTTTTCACTATTGTTTAAGTTTTGGAGTATATTAAGCTGGGAAATAAAATTTTCTAAATCTAGCAAACAAAATATAGTGTTCTAGGTAAGTAATTATTAAAATTACTGACTGTTTTTTATTTAACAGATCCAAAATCACATATTCTGAGTATTCGAGATGAAAAAGAGAATAACTTTGTTCTTGAGCAACTTCTGCACTTCAAGGATATGGCTTCATGGGTCATGTTAGGTATAACTTATGAAAGTAAGTTGTAAATCTGCTGATTTTCTCTGTTTATATTCATACTTCATTATAAACTACTTGTTTATCAAGCTGTAAAAGTATAGTTCTTCAAAGATTATGTTTATCAATATACAAAATTATAATTATGCACTTAGTATAACTTGTATAAATACCTAGGCAGTTTATGTCTGCTCTGGTGTTAAAATGCCTTTACTGCCAAGCTTATAGTTAAATGGTAGAAAATAATTTCCTTTCTCCACTCTCCCTCCTAGCAATTCAAGACTAACTAAAAATGACTACACTCCCATATAAATCTCCAATACTTACTTTATATCTCACTTGTATGTAGGATTAGAAGAACAGAATTATACTTATATTAATGTTGCACTTTTGTGTTTATAGCGTTGGCTTGAGGTATACATTAGAGAAATTGAGACACATAACCTGACAGTACGATAGAATATTTGAAATTGGGACTAAACACCACAAATCCAAGATATAATTGCTATGAAAATTTTTAAAACACAGACACTACTAATAGAAGAAATAAGACCAATTTAGAAAAATACTCAAATAATGATTTCCTGAAAATCATGGAAGTTTTGGAATTAGGAAAAAGAAAATCTCTCTGTGGGCATAGAGCATCAAAAGCATACATTCACCCAAAAAAAGTATTTAATAAGGGGTACAGGACAATGATAGCCAGAGGTAGGGGAGAAAAAGAAGCTAAATAACTCAAATCTGACCATTTTTAAAATAGCCTTCTCTTTGCTATCTAACCTGTCTCTTTCTTAGAGTTGCCAATGTTTTTCTTAAATGTTTATGGTTTGCAGACGAGTTAACAAAAATTGAGCTATCAAGCAATAGGTAAAACTTGGGTTGCTAGTTGAAGAAGAGTTCGTCATAGTAGGACTTAGTTGCCCAAGTCTTTTCTCCAATGACACTTGAATACCCTTAAATTTAGGAATGGAAAAAAAAAGTGGAGAGAAACTAGGTGGAAAGTTCCCAGACTTTACCTGAAAATGACTGAGGAAACGGGTCCCCTATGGAGCAGTGGAGATCACTGGATCAGGGGGTATAGTTAGAGATTCCAATTGTACCCTCTGATGTACTTTGTTAGTTATATTATCAGAAATAACTGAAAATGTATTCTGTATTCTGAAGAGCATTTTCATATCTGTAGACTTCCTTTTAATCATCTTAACTTCTTTTATAAAATGTATGAGTAACAAAATTTCTATGACAATATATAGACATAGGAACAATGTATAGAAAGATGTTTCAAGCAATCATCAAATTTGGTTTAAATCTAATTCTTACTGGCTTAATTTACATCTATAGGTTTTTTTATTACTTCAGTATTCTTTTTTTTTTTTTAAAGATTTTATTTATTTATTTTTTCCCCCAAAGCCCCAGTAGATAGTCGTATGTCATAGCTGCACATCCTTCTAGTTGCTGTATGTGGGACCCAGCCTCAGGATGGACGGAGAAGTGGTGCCTCGGTGCGCGCCCGGGATCCGAACCCGGGCCGCCAGCATCAGAGCGCGCGCACTTAACCACCAAGCCACGGGGCCGGCCCACTTCAGTATTCTTAAGTAATATTTAATTGTATATACCACTGGTACAAAGGATTTTGTTTTTTAAAAAGTTCTGACTTTTCAAAAGTAGGGCCATGAATTGAAATTGCTAAGAGAAGCCATATGTCAACTGAAAGATACTTCAAGCCAAGTGAAAAAGTGACCCTTCCATATAGCAACTGTAGAAATATACCCAACTCTAAGATTGCCCATTGTATTGGCCAGAAAATTATACCTTTAGCATCTGGGGAGAGCAAAGAGGGACTGGGAGACACGAGGTGATATAAAGCATCAGGCAAGAACCAAATCATATGTCCAGTATTTCTAGTGTGTCATTACTGCAGGCAGAGGTTTAGGTAACAGTAATATTATTGGGAGATAGTAATCAGTGAAAGATAGAAATAACCAGGACAACAAGGGATATGTGTAGGTAGTAATGACATCACAATTCATAATTTTAATAAGCCTGGCAACTTGTTTTTCCAAAAATTTTAGTAAGATATATTCATTTACCATATAATTCAGCCATTTAAGGTATACAATTTAATGGCTTTTAATATAGTCACAGAATTGTGCAACTATTACTACCCCAGAAAGAAACACCATACCTATTAGCAGTACCTCCTCATTCCCTTCCCTCTCCTGACCCTCAGCAACCACTCGTCTATTTTCTTTCTCTATAAATTGCTTATTCTAGACATTTCATATAAATGAGATCATACAATATGTGATTTTTTCGTGAGTGGCTTATTCCACTTAGCATAATGGTTTCAAGGATTATGCATGTAGCACTGTAGCATGTATCAGTATATCATTCCTCTTTATGGCTGAATAATATTCCATTGTATGGAGATACCACATTTTATTTATCCATTCATCTGTTGATGGGCATTTAGATTGTTTTAACTTTTATGGTTATTTTATGAATAATGCTGCTATGAACATTTATGTACAAGTTTTTATGTGGATATATATTTTCATTTCTCTTGCATATTTACCCAGGAGTGAAATTGTTGGTTCTTTTGTTTAACCCTTTGAGGAACTGACAGACATTTCCAAAGCTGCTGTACCATTTTCCATTGAGGGTTCCAATTTCTCCATATCTATGTCAACACTTGTTTTCACCTGTCTTTTTGAGTATAGCCATCTGAGTGGATATGAAGAGGTATCTCATTGAGGTTTTTATTTCATTTCCCTGATGATTAATGATATTAAGCATCATTTCATGTGCTTGTTGGCTATTTGTATATCATCTTTGGAGAAATCCCTATTCAGATCCTTTGCCCATTTTTTAATTATTTGTCCTTTTTATTATTGAGTTGTAAGCATTCTTTATATATTCTGGATGTAAGTCGCTTGTCAAATAAATGATTTGCAAATTATTTTTTCCATAATTTTCTTGATAGTATAATTTGTAGCACAAAACTTTTCAGTTTCAATGAAGCCCAATTTATCTATTTTTTCTTTTATCACTTGTGCATATCTAAGAAGGCTTTGCCTACCCCAGGGTCATGAAGACATACTCCTATGTTGTCTTTTAAGAGTTTTATAGTTTTAGCTCTTTCAGTTAGGTCTGTGATCTATTTTGAGTTAATTTTGTGTACGATGAAAGGAAAGGGTCCAACTTCATGTTTTTTGCATGTAGGTATCCTATTGTCCCTGCAATTATTCTTTCCCCATTGAATAGTCTTGGCACCTTTACCAAAAATCAGTTGACACAGGGGCCGGCCTCGTGGCGTAGTGGTTAAGTGCGGGCACTCTGCTGCTGGCGGCCCAGGTTTGGATCCCGGGTATGTACCGATGCACCGCTTGTCAGGCTATGCTGTGACGGCGTCCCATATAAAGTGGAGAAAGGTGGCACGGATGTTAGCCCAGGGCCGGTTTTCCTCAGCGAAAAAAAAGAGGGGGATTGGCATGGACGTTAGCTCAAGGCTGATCTTCCTCACAAAAAAATCAGTTGACATAAATGTGCACAATTGTGCATGGCTCAGGTCCAGAAAAGAGATTTCTGTCACTAGTTTTATAATATACTAATTATTTTTTATAAAATCATTATGTTCATTTCCATTGCAATTAAACATATATGTAGGAGAAATGAACATTTGATGAAAAAATAACAAAATGTAAAGTTGAATGGTGGAATTATAAGTAAATTTTAATTTTCATGTTTATAATTTGTACTTTCCAAATTAAAAGTAAGCATGATTTAGTGTTATAATCAGAAAATATTTTAGAGGGATACACATAATCATACACTGTTTTAGAAGAAAATTAGTTGAGTTTGAAATATTAACTTCATAATTGTAATTCAAGTTTTGATTTTATCTCTAAGCATAGAAAAAAATGTTTCTTCTCTAGATGATTCTCTTATGTGGTCTGATAAGACCATGCTGTCATATACCCACTGGAGAGAAGGAAGACCAGCTATAAAAGATGGCAAGTTTTTTGCTGGCTTGAGTACTGACGGCTTCTGGGATATTCAAACCTTTAATGTTATTGAAGAAATACTTTACTTTCACCAGCACAGCATTCTTGCTTGTAAAATTGAAATGGGTAAGTATGCTAATGTAGACTTTCCACTCCTGGGAAAGAGAAAATAAAGCCTTTAGCTTCACTAGTGGGAAGTGCAATTGTGTTTTTTGAGCACCTCCTCTGTATTCAGTCCTATGAGAGGTGCTGCAGAGATTAGGGAGGAAGGGAAAGATATGGTCTCTGGTGTCACGGCCTTGATCCCAAGAAGTAAAATGTAGTTGGGGAGACAGCATTAAATTCTTTATCATTGTTTTATGTAGGTTAGTCTTAGGTTAGTTGGTACAGTCTTAAATTTGGGGGAAGTCAAAAGAGATCAATGAAAACAGGAATAATGAAAACAAAGAATGCATTGAGGAGGAGGTAGAACTTGGTTGAATCTTGAAGGATGGATAAGATTTTTATAAATAAGAAAATGTGTTTGGGTAGAGTTTTGACATTCCAGGCTAAAAATGAATGTCTCTCAACCTTGCCTAATTCCTTAAATAAATCTATTTTTAAATGCATGTCAGTTTTAGATTTTTCACAGCTTAACAACTGTTATTATGGCCCCTCTGCTCTAAGCCCTCTGCCAACATGGAGCCTGTCACAGTGGCGTCCAGGCTGAACTTCTCCCTGCATAGTGCTGCAGAAAAACTTCCTGTAGCATCATTTCCATCAGCAGTCTCCAGGGAGTCCCTATTATCAATTACTTTGAGTCCATGTAAGCTTTTGAGACTTTTTAGAAACCAAGGTCTATTCTAAAATTCTAGGCTTTCTCCCAGCCCCCATTTTTTCCCATTCTCAGCTCAGTAAAGATCTTTTTCTGTCAGACTGATCTCTTCATTGTCCCATGTACAATATACGCCCATCCTCATTTGCACCTTTATTTGTGGTTTTTTCCCACCAAGAAGTCTGCTACCTTCTTTCTTTTTTTTTTTACCTTTTTTTTAAATTTTTTTTTTTTTTTGAGGAAGATCAGCCCTGAGCTAACATCCATGCTAATCCTCCTCTTTTTGCTGAGGAAGACCTGCCCTGAGCTAACATCTATTGCCAATCTTCCTCCTTTTTTTTTCCCCAAAGCCCCAGCAGATAGTTGTATGTCATAGTTGCACATCCTTCTAGTTGCTGTATGTGGGACTCGGCCTCAGCATGGCCGGAGAAGCGGCGCGTCGGTGCGCGCCCGGATCAGAACCCGGGCCGCCAGCAGCAGAGCGCGCGCACTTAACCGCTAAGCCACGGGGCCAGCCCCTTTTTTTTAACATTTTTAATAAACTTTTCATTTTAGAATAGTTTTAGATTTACAGAAAAGTTGTAAAGATAGTACAGAGAGTTCTCACATACACCATAACCAGTTTCCCCTATTGTTGACATCTTACATTAGTCTGGTACATTTGTCACAACTAATAAAGCAAACTGATAGATTATTGCTCACTAAAGTCCATACATGATTCAGATTTCCTTAGTTTTTACTTAATGTCCTTTTTCTGCTCAGGATTCCATCCATGATGCCATGTTACATTTAGTCATCATGTCTCCTTAAGGTTCCTCTTGGCTGTGATAGTTTCTCAGACTTTTCTTGCTTTTGATGACCTTGACAGTTTTGAGGAGCACTGGTCACGTATTTTATAGCATGTCCCTCAGTTTGGGTTGGCTGTTGTTTTTCTCATGATTAAACTGGGGTTATGGGTTTGAAGTTTAGGGAAAAACCACAGAGGTAAAGTGTCTTTCTCATCACATCATATGAAGAGTATACGCTATCAACATGACTTATCACTGTTGATTTTAACCTAGGTAATGTTTGTCAGCTTTCTCCACTGCAAAGTTACTGTTTTTCCCCCTTTCTATACCGTACTTTTTGTAAGGAAGTCACTATACTCGGTCTACACTTGCAGCGTGGAGAGTTATTTTCTACCTTCCTGAGCAGGAAGTTATCTATATATATTATTTGGAATTCTACTGCACAGGAGATTTGTCTATTCTCCCCCATTTTTAAATTTATTCAGTCATTTATTTATATCAGTATGGGCTTATGGTTATTTATTTTATACTTTGGATTATAATCCAAAATACTACATTATTTCACATTTTGCTCAAATTGTTCCAGCTTTGGCCATTGGAAACTCTTTCACTTGGCTCCTATGTCCCTTTGAAATACTCTCATGATTGTGGTTTTGTTGTTGTTGTTATTTGTTTATTTTTAGCTTACTTTCTGGTTACTTATTTCTTGTTAGTCCTAAATTGACCTACCTAATCTCTGGAGCCCTAATTTATCAAACAGGCCTTCTGACTCCCTTAACAGATGAATCTCTCCTTCTCTAGTTAGTCACACATATTCTAGTGGTTAATTGTTTTGCCCTCATTTCAGGTGTTGTTTTCTGTCCCCAATTAATATGTGAGCTCCTTAAATGAAAGATGATGTTTATGCCTTTTTTTAATCAACCAGACAACTGTAATATTTAAGAGTCTACTATATGTGCCGTGGCAATAAGAAAAATAAAGTATGCGTTTGACCTCCCTTATTAATGGGAAACCCAGTTTTATTTAACTTTTGAAATGATTGCATTCCAGTCTTACCCAAAATATGTATTTTAAATAATTTAAATTTAATTACTAACACTTTTAATTTAAATGTTATAGTTGACTACAAGGAAGAATATAATACTACTCTGCCACAGTTTATTCCATATGAAGATGGTATTTATAATGTGATTCAAAGAAAGGTAACATGGTATGAAGCATTAAACATGTGTTCTCAAAGTGGAGGTCATTTGGCAAGTGTTCATGACCAAAATGGCCAGCTCTTTCTGGAAGATATCGTAAAGCGTGACGGATTTCCACTATGGGTTGGGCTCTCAAGTCATGACGTAAGTCTTGTTTTGTTTTCCAGAAATTTTCCAAATATGTTAGAGGGTTGGAAATTTGAGCATAAAATGTTAATTCAAAGTCTAACATCAGGGCCGGCCCCGTGGCTTAGTGGTTAAGTGCATGCGCTCTGCTGCTGGCGGCCCGGGTTCGGATCCCGGCTGCGCACCGACACACCGCTTCTCTGGTCATGCTGAGGCCGCGTCCCACATACAGCAACTAGAAGAATGTGCAGCTATGTCATACAACTATCTACTGGGGCTTTG